TGGGGTGGGAATGCTAACACTGAACTGCCACAGTAGTAGCATTCCGCCCCCACCCCCCCTTCTGAATCCAGTTCTTCTGTCAGGACACAGTTCTCTTATCCTCATCAGTGGCAGCCAATGATGTAGAAAGGGGCATTGGAAAGATCCAGATCATGGTATCATAGTATGAGGGGTAAATTGAACTGTACATTGTAGAAGGGGGAAAGGACAATCTCAGTGACAGGAAGACAGAACTTCCAATTTCAGTGACACGTTGCTGTTACTGTTGGTGCATATATGGTATTTTTCACTCATCCAGTGATTTTGTATCAGAAAAATCAAATTTCTGCATAAATCCAGGCAGCAAATAATATAAATAGCATAGAACCTGCCTCGATCAAATACAGTGGCATATTGTTAATCATGTTGCAATGAAAACTAGTAAGATATAAGCATTTAACCAAAGATGCAAAACAGGGGAAGAAAGTTTCTTAAAACATTCTACAAATGCTCAATTGCGTTGTCCATATATTCTGTATGTTTGGTTAGCATGAGAAGCAGGGCCTTTTTACTAATGGCTCCCTTATTGAATAACTGCCTCCTTAATAAGGTCCATCCTGTGTTCCATTTTAGAAGATCTCTTTATGCTGGCAGAAATCTGTGAATGCTTGAAATTTGTAATGTACTTTTTTCCTGCCTGAGATGAGGGAGACCTAATAATCCCATTAAGACTGCAAAATTTCACTTGAGCTCTATTGACAGAGGCTGGTTTGGGAACTGAAGAGCCACCGATATATTCCATTTACAGGTCAGACGACAGCTTCAACCAATCAATGTTGCTTGCGCCACAAAAGGTGAGAGGCAGGTATAAAACTGGGGTAACATCTAAAAATCAGCTTCACAGAAGGTCTTCATGCTCCGTAACATGTGTAAATACAGCTACCGAAACCAAGGGGAAGTGAATCCATTTACACCATGACCGTTTTGTATAGCATTCTTTGCTTTTGAGCAATTCAGCTATCGATATCAGAGCAAGAATGTGTCCTGATCATGAATGCATTGCACAGATCAGGGCTAGAGCAATATAGTTGTAACTGCATCATGCCTGCACCAAACACCACCATATATGCAGTGGGGCTGACAGTCATGTCGGCACCCACTATTCCAGCAGGTACCCTACACACCAGACTGGTGGGTGTTTGAACCCCCCCCCCCAATGTGTGCAGAGTCAATATCCCAGATTCTTTACCCACACAGAGATCAATGATTACTTTCACAGAAAGACTAGTTCAGCAAAGGTCCTTGAGCTGTGAATATCACTCATGTTTCCTTGAGCTCCGAAGACAGCCAGCTGACAGAATGTTACAGATAAAGTACTTCTGCTGTTAGCCACTAAAAGCTTGCTCTGTAGATAAACGCAAGAGCAATCAAGTCCATCAGCATTCATCAGTAGTAAATACTTTTTTAAAAAAAATTGTCCTCACAACAGTCTAATGAGAGCAACACTCACTGGCTCAAAGTTACCAGTAGAGCTCTGTGTCTGAGGTGGCATTTGAATCTGGGTCTCCCTGTTTTGTCTGATATCCTATGTGTGTGTGTGTGTAAATGCTGTCAAGTCACTTCTGACTTAGGGCGACCCTATGAGTTAATGACCTCCAAAATGCCCCGTTGTTAACAGCCTTGCTCAGGTCTTGCAAACTGAGGGTTGCGGCCTCCTCGATTGAATTAATTACCCATTCATAATATCACTTGATTGACTTCTGTCCCAGCTTTCAATACAGAAGGACCTCTGTTGGGGTCTAGAAAGAACGATAACATTCATATGGGAATGCTCCCATCTCCTCAGAGATCCCAGTGCTTCTGGCGATCCCACTTTTCATTAAGCCCTTCTTGGTTGTTCCCAGCCCCTTCCTTCTAGCCTTTTACTCTCCTGCTGGCTGATGACTGGAAAGTATGCTGTTTACTCCCTTCTCTCCAGGACTGCTTCTCTTGTTTACTTTACTTTTCCAAGGCAGAGAGGAGGACCCAGGAGGAGGAGCTGGACAATGACAGCTGATGGTCAGTTTCATATAAACAGTGGCATCAAATTGCCAGTGTCAGTATACAAGCTTATTTGGAGTCATCAGCTGTAACTACAGCTAGAAAATAATTATGCATAATTATGTATATTAGGTCCCACAATTACTCCTTAGTCCTAGATGGATTTATCTCTCTGGCCACCACTGCTCAATAACTTTCCTAGGCTGGTAAAAGGCAGTGAGCCACAATGATTCATTGTGACCGCAGATAAATTATTCAGTCTTTTATTTATCAAGTATTATATTTTGAAAAAGCAAGTAAAAGACAAAAAACTAAACTCACAAAGCAGAACTCACAAGTATACATAAAGTAGAGTAGATCCTCATCATTCACAGATTTGCGACTCATGGTTTCACTTGTTCGTTGACCACGATTTGATTGTAAGGAAGTCAGTCAGTCTCCAAACAATTTTTGCACCCTCTATGTCGCAAATCTATGTCATTTCATTTCATGGGAAATTTGGAAAGGGTACTATCGGGAGGCAGCAGAATCCTGCCACCCAGTATTCACACAGTGATTCTGGGAACAGATCCTCTGTGAATTATAAGGTTTATTGTAGCTAAACCACTAAAGGACAGTTCATACCTGTGGGCAGCCCCCATAAGAACATGATGAAATTTGCAGGGCCACATTGGCAGGCTCATAGTCAGGCCACATTCACAGAAGGTGCCGTTTGTGAGAACCATCATCTGTGCATGTAAGCTGTATATGTGGATGTCATAACTTATTGGTTCAAAAAACTGCTACAGTGAAAATCCAGTGGCTGACTGCAAGTACTGCTTCTCAGAAGCAGTGCATAAGTAGGCACCATGCATACACAGGGCTCTGGATCATGACCTATTTGAGCAACTCATACACCTCTATCCCTATGAAATCTAGGAGCAAAACGTAGTTAGCTGCACTCCTAACCAAATATTTGTTTCAGAGGCTTAACACACGGGTGCACTTACAGAAGCCAAATCCTTAAAACATCCACAAGCGAAAGCTCGCCAGTACACTGGCTCTATTAGTCACGTCTGACTACTAACAATTTGAGGGGGGGGGGTTTCCTTCTTTCAACTTAGGGAGTTCGTTGGTAATTCTGATGGCTGATATGCTCATGTGCTCTCAGTCACAGAATCAGCATTTGCAAATGTGACAAATTTGTATTAAGAGGGGAAAAAGAGAGGCTCCTCCTGTTCCTCCTCCTCCTCTCCACATCTGTGAGAACAGAAGAGTCTACACTATTGCACTAAGTCAAGTTGCAGCAAGGATGAAGCTCTGTGGTACAAGCAGGCTAGTGCTAAAGCTGCCCGTTTCCTAATGAAACATATAACCCACTGCTACTATAGCAAAGGGGCTTCTGAGTGCACCCACTGGCTAAGATGAGAAACTAACTTCAGGACAGGAACCTTGAGGGTGGGGTTTAACATAGCAGGATTTCAAAAACAGAACACATTATTGTCCCGCGTTGCCAGAAAGATTCCCGTTAGTACAATGTTCGCAATGGAATGAATCAGGTGCCTATACAAATGATACAGAATTCCCCATGACTTGTAAAAATGCTCACATAACACGGTATATCCTAGAATAAAACTTTAAGAGCTAAAACTCTCATAGAGTGAAAGAAAGTTCTGAGTTCCTTAATCTTACCCCCCTCTCCTAGACATAACTATGCAAGTGAAAAAGTGGTGAAACTACTAAGCCCAAAGAAGATCCAAATTAAAAGTTTTGCTTTCCCCTTCCTCATGCATTCCTTGATAGAGCCATCCATCACGGGTAAGTTATCTCAGGAAGGATCATAAGCCTGATGCAATGTAATTACTGATCTAGAAGTATTGCATTACACAGCATGAAAAGAACTGGCAACTCTCTTTTATGCCTTATGAAGCAACTGACTAATGATTGAGTATTGCAATTAAAAAGGGGAAAAAAAATGAGAAACCAGAAACCAGACTATTCCACAGTCCAGTTGCACAAGCAATGGAAGTGTGGGTAATGTGTAGTGAAGACATTTAAGATAACAAGCAGTTTGTGGCAGGATGTGTGTGGCACATGGCCAGTGTCGAGTGATAACCAAGAGAAAAAAAGGACCCCTGCCTTTACCATCAAGTGTCATCCGTGTGTATCAAAGTCAGGGCTACACAGTATAGGTGCACCCCATGCATGTAGACAGTGCCACTGGTGAGCTGTAAGTCTCAGGGATATAGAAATAACCTGCCAACAATACCAGCTGATCCCAACCCCAAGCAAAGAAAACAGAATACAACTCTCAGCTGTTCTCTAAGGTTTCACTAAAGGCTCTAGCTATTTTGGGGGACATTCATGGAATTTTAAGGAAAAAGTTTAATTTCTCAAGAAAAACTAATGTAAAATATGAGCGGTCTTCAGCATTAGGGACAGAACACTACATAATAATCGCGGGGTTTGGCAGGGAAGGTTATTGTGACACAGACTTCATTTGAGGAAATCAAAATTATTCAGGACAAGCTTGAGAACACACCATTTTCTCTGGCAGCAGAACAGTTCAGAAAGGGATCTGCAGTAGCCACTCCTGACGGTTCAGTAGACATTTGCTAAGAACATTTGTTTCACGCCTGAGAAGCACACTTCTTTCAGTAATAAAAAAATAACACTTTATTTGCAAAATAAAAGTAATTACATAGTGATATAAATAAACTTACATGTACAAATAATCTATGTAAATCCCACAATATATATTCCCATTCAAACTCTTGAATGTCAAAGTGGGCCACCAAAGTTATCTACAGACACCAGAATTTCTAAGTTCTGCCTTAGCAATAAATGATTAAGTTTATGTTCTCATACATGAAGATTCAGTTATTAATTTTCTACAAGCAAAATGTACTGAGTAGGAACACAACCCACAGCCTCAAAGACACTTTTGCAAATCCATCCAGAGAAGAACACACTTCACATTAAAGGCATTACTTTCTGTGGTAACACAATGTAACACGCAAGGCCTAGCTTTAATCTTATTTCTTTATGACAAATGCAAATTTATATTGAAGGCTCCTATGGATTTAGAACAATACTCGTAAAATGACAAGATACAGCTATCCCTTGATCCTTAATGTGGACGTAAAGCTATATAACAGAGAATGCAAGAAGACATTAACACTTCTTCTCTTACACTGAAATGCAGCTTCACACATAAGCTCCATTTACACAGGCACATTGACTTTGCTGAGCACTGTTCCTCAGCACCTTTAAAAATTTGAATACAGTAACATTCAACTGTGGCCAAAAGAAAGGGGAAAAAGGGTACTGTCAAGGTATAATCTTCACAGTATCAGAGCAACGTAAAGCAGGGTTTTTGCAAATGGTGAAATGCTTTGAAGACCCAGTTGCCCAACACTTTTAATGAAATCAAGTTAACTTTTAAAGAAAAAATACAAACATCAATGCACAAAGCACAGTTGCTCAGGCCAAATTCACTGCAAATGCCCTTCCCGCTGAATTCGCAGGCGCTCTTTTTCAACTTGTAAGCGTTCTTTCTCAATTTGCAGCTTCTCTGATTCAAACTTCAGGAACTGCAGCCTCTCCTTCTCTAATTGTAAGCGCTCCTTTTCAATTTTAAGTTTTTCCGTTTCTAGATCCAGAGGCGGCACAGTGGGCTTTTCCGCCTGGCTGGCATCATTTTCTGGGGAGGGTTTTTCAGCATGCAGAGCCTCAAGCCTCAGTTTCTCTCGCTCCATCTGCAGCCGCTCCTTCTCCAGCTGAAGCCTCTCATGTTCCAGGTCAATGTGTCGCAGCCGCTCTTTTTCGATCTGCAGCCGCTCCTTCTCCACTTGCAGGCGCTCTGCTTCGATATCCAGGCGCTGTTTTTCTAGTTCCAGCTTCTGTTTCTCCAGACTGATGAGCAAATGGGAATCCTCATAAACCAGCCTAGCTTGGGCAGAGCTTAGATTGCCAAACTCTTCAATGTGGGTGAAATCAGGAAGATCATTTTCCTTTTTGGAGTCTGGCAACACTGAGGACAAAATTTCCTCTTCTTCCTCAATAGGAAACTAGGGAAATCAATTGAAGTATTTACTGATTATTTTTAATATTGTTATAAATTGGGAAAATAAAGATAGTCTACATTTTACAGTTACAATCCACATGTTTAATCCAGAGTTTCATTTGGATACTGCCTGTGTAAACCATATGGTAAGGTTTTACATATTTATACAGAAGGTGGTCAGGCATGCTGTAAGGCTTAAAGCGGATGTTATGGTGATCAGATAGCTGCTCAACAACACAAAAGAAAGGGCAAAAAACCAACCCAAAACTGGAATTGGATACCTAAAAGGTTGAGGCTACAAGCATATATAAAAACGATTAAACAAACTATATCTTTAAGAATACAATGCACCTAAATAATTCATTAAAAATAGGCCTTTAGGCCATACAGGTAACACACTGTATGGTACACATTACAGACAATGCAGTATCCTCTTAGTGACACTGACTGGGAACAATAAATTAATGAAATTGAATCAGACATGTTTCAGCCACAAAGGCCTTCTTCAGTGGGCCCAATTTAATACCACATACACACTATATGAAGGAATCTGTATTGCACTTTACCTTTTCAGGTCATGTGGGTGCATTCCAAAATAACTCCTGTGGCACCAAACAACTCTATGGGAGTATTACATCTGGCTACTGATCTTTATAGCTCCACCCAAGGGAATGTGAAATAATATACTGAATACAGCAGTTCCTTCACCCACAGTGTCCATATGTGTACTGCAACAGTAAATTAATCACTTTCTCTTTCATGAGCAAAGACAGAAAGGGCAATCTCATCCCCTCCCCACACTACAGCCGCCCAACAAATGAAGCTATTAGTACACTGAAATCCCCTGGAATAAACTTTCCCAGGAACAGAAATGGTTCTGGGGGGAAAGGAAGCAGGAAATATACACTGTGCTTTCCACCTTTCATTCACAGAATCCAAATCAAAGCATCCAATTAAAAATCAAATTAAATAAATGTAGATTAAGTTGACACTCCCAGTTAAATATGTAATTCTAGCCGCCAGACCAAAAAGATACATTTTATAAAAGAGTATCTCAGGCTAACACAAAACTTTCAGGAGTGATGGAACACCATCATCTTCTATATCATCTGCTTATCCAAAACTGGCACACATGTCACAACTAAGACTGCTTTCTCATCAGATGTAAGAGATTATGGGTACAGTTGTCACTGTACAGTAACTGGAAATTATATAATAAAAGGAGCCAGAAAAATATCAAAATCACACCTCACATATATAAAATAGCCTTACAGTACAAGAACTACTCACTTCAAAACTCTGTGGATCTTCCTCTTCTTCTTCTACTTTGACTTCAGTTAATGATCCACCCGCTTCCCGGAAATCTGTGATATTCTGCCATTCAAAATTAGATTCATTTGGAAATCCAATTTTCTCATCTATATCTTCATTGAGAGAATCATCCAAATCAGAGGAAGGAAGATGAAACCCAGCACCTACAAGCTTGATGTTGGAGTTCAACCGCTTTCGCTTCATAAGAGCTCTCCAGTCAAGGTATCGTCTTTTCACTTCTGTCCCTGTCCTTTGCTCTCCTTCACCCACAGCATTAACACACTCTGCTATTTCCTCCCAAGCTTTCCGCTTCATTTCATTAATTGTCGTATTTAGTTGCTTAGAAAAAAGCACTTCTCTCCTTTTTCGGATTTCCTTAAGTAGCGTTTGAGTTTCCTGAACACTAAAATTGCTTTTTCTTTTCCTTTTTAGTTGTTTCATCTTTTCCAACTTTCAACGTACTTGTTTCTGTAACAGACAAAAGAGATTAGTAGTGAATTCCTTTGTTTCATAATAACCAACCTGGAACTCTGTATGTTCCTAAACAGTAAGGAGTTGTAACTTGTAAATCTTTGAATCGCTTACGTGTAACCAGCAAAAAGATATAGATTGCATTTCAGCCAATGAATTCAGCTCCACTAAACAATAATATATCCAAAAAAGTAGTTTTAGAAATGCAGCAAATTGTAGCAACACAATTTTATGACAAATATCCTAACACAATTAAAATTCAACACTGAAAATAAAAGGGTTCTATCTTAGATGCACTTTTTTGCCATCCTCACAGTTGACTTGTGGTGATCTGTAGGGCTTTCAAGACCAAAGATGTTCAGAGGTGATTTGCCATTGTCTACCTCTGCATAGACTTCCCTGGTGGTCTCCCTTGCAAGTACTAAGCAGGGGTGATCCTGTTTATATTCCAAGATCTGGCTAGCCTGGGCTATCCATGTTATGGCAGATAGTTATAACATATACAATTACAATCAGTTCAATAATATTTGTTTGGGGAAAAACTGGAAATTTGTTTTTAAAAGTATACCGTATAAATTATGTACATCCTTTCTAACACTTACTTTTAAATAGGTGCTGTTAGTTTCATTTAATTTCTTCTGTTTTAATTTTGTAACTGTAGGTTAACACTAGTATTCCAGGATAAAAGCTAATTTATTTATTAAAACATTTCAACATTGTTGAACATTGAACAGTTCAACATTGCCCCCAAAGAGAAGAGTAATTCACATGACTATGGAAGTCACAGAATAATTCACATGACTATGGAAGTGTTTTAAACATGACCATAATTAATTATAAGTTTCACAATAATAATATGGTTATTTAACTAGCACATATCAGACTTATTGAATTAATTAAATAATGCTTTAATACTACTTGATTATCATATATATCCAAAAAAGTATTCCCATATATGCCCTGAAGAGCATTATGTTCCATGGATAAACATCTCCTGGTTGTCCCTGGCCCAAAGGACGTCCAACTTGACTCAACCAGGGCTTTTTCTGCCCTGGCCCCTGCCTGGTGGAACATGCTCCCAGTTGAGATTAGGGCCCTGTGGGATCTTCTTCAGTTCCACAAGGCCTGTAAGACGGAGCTGTTCTGCCAGGCCTTTGGCTGAGGCAGCGGACGTCTCTATATGGCCTCCCTGAGGAGGTTGTCACCTATCCACCTATCCAGTTAACCCAAATAATATACTAAAGAACTGTACAACCAGTGATTGTCAGAAGTGTGATTGGGTTTTAATGTTTATTATTGTTTAAATTACAAACTTGTTTAATTTTAATCATATTTATTCTACTGTTTTTATGATGTTACCCACTATGAGCCTGCTTGTGGGATGGGCAGGCTATAAATACAAATAATAAATAAATTTGACAAGTTGATTGACTAGATCTTTTTTGACTTTGATTGACTCAAATCTAAGGCACCATAACTAAGTTCTAAATTACTCTGATGTGCTTTACCCAACATCTGATCCCTGCAATGCACACAAGAATCGTACAGTGTGCTAACTTCCAATCTGTCAGAGCAGTAGATGAGGTAACTGTCCTGCCATAAGGACAACTGGGGCAAGGCCAACACAACTGTTAGAAACAACATTGTCACTATGCCACCTCTTCTGTATTTCGAAAACAAACAAAATGGATTCAAGTGGGTAGCCATGTTGGTCTGAAGCAACAGAATGAAGTTTGACTCCACTGGCACCTTTAAGTCCAACAAAATTTAATTCAGGGTATAAGTTTTTGTGTGCATGCACACTTCATCACACTTGTGCAGCTGCAATCAGAGAGCCATTCAACCTTAAATCAGACATAACTGTGCAAGGAAAATGAGCACTGGGCAAGAGGCACTGTCACAGAAATACTGAACAAGGTGGTCATGTTTCGTCATGGCAATTGCTAATCTATGTAATTCCATATATGGAACTATCTGCTGGAATTAATAGGGGGATTTAGGTTACAGTGAAGAGCTCTTTTTCCTTAAGCAGTGTGCTCTCGATGGAAGTCACCTTCCATTTTAGGTCCTAAGAGTGCAAGTAAAATTGCGTCAGGGACAATGTTACATATTGATGGTACGTATTAGTTCCAGTATATACAACTACTTCTGACACAAGGCCAGATATATTTATGGCCACAAATAGAAACAATTCTATATGGGAACATTCCAATTTTGGTCCTATTTTATTTATTGTTAATTGGTTACAGGGACTTTGTTGCTTGTTGTATTTTGCACTATCTGACCTCTGAAGAAGGCTCTTGTGAGTCAAAACGCGTCAGGTCATATACTGTCTTTTTTTTGTGTGTGTTTGTAACTTTGAACATTTTATGAGGCTTTATTTGGGCCCCTACTAGGTTTTTATATGTCTTTGTAATAAACACACTTTCTAATTTCTGCCTTTTATTTTGCCAGTTCAATTAATACTACTGCCTCATTTTACATTGTAGATTCTGCCAGCTGTGCCACCCAACATCCCAAAGGGAATTTCCTCAAGAAGTGACAGTTACACAGCACTCAGCCACAGGTCTAAGAGGTGCCTCAAGTACAAGGAAGGACATTTGGCCTCTGATGGCTATAATTCTGTTCAGTCTGAAGGCAAATTTATCTCTGGGCTTCCATGCCCAGCCAACTGAATTTAGTAAGACCAGGAGCAAGGAGGGCTTTGGATACCATACAAGTCATAAGAAACACAAACCCGCCTGACTAAATGACTTCAGCACCTTGAGACCATTCGCCTTAGAAACCCTTTGGGGCTTTGGTCTTAAGTAAGGTCATGATAAAGGCTTACAGTATTACAGAAAACTAGTCAGAAATTTATCTCTTTCATATAATACTAGAATGCAGGGCTACCCAATGAAAGTAATTGGCTGTAAATTCATACAAGGATGTTCTACTTCACACAATGTGTTATTTTCGCATGTGCTGCCACAAAATATGATAATGGACAACAGTTTAGAAGACTGTTAGAGCTAAGCTCTAATTGACATGACAGGTATATCAGTGGTTATTCACCATGATGGCTAAATGAAACCTTCAGGCACACATACAACAATACATTGTCATTTGGGCAAACAATGGTGATGGGGTGAGGACTGCTCACAGTTCCTATTAACATCTGACTAGCCACTACAGAAACAGAATACTGGACTACATAAGCCCTGGCCTGATCAAGCAGGACACTGTTCCACATGTCAAATGTGACATGGGACCCTGTTCTTTTAATATAACTTTTGCATAAAGCTTTAACAGTCTACTCATAAATTTGGGGTATCCTGGAATTGACTGGAAAGAAATTCCATCTAAAAAGAACACAGAATCCCTATGCTGCAAAAGTTGCTTCCTTTTGTCTTCCAGGCTGGAAGTTTTCATAAATTGAGAAAGCACTATTTAATCAGAAGCATCAAATAATACTGAGCTTTTGACACAGCCAGATAAAGCCTCACAGCATTTTCCTCTAAATCATAACTTTAGCAGTTCCTTGCAAGAGATATCCCATCAAGGCTTGTGAATTATCACTCTTTGCGTGGATTCAAGTAATCAGGTGTTTAACTTCTTATGAAATAGGGGACACTCTGCTCTGATGAAAAGCATACCATTATAATTATATAAATGCAGCTCAATTTGCAGTATCTTTGAGTCTAAAATTCTTTCAATAAAATCTCATTAAAGGATAGGAAACTGAAGCAAAGAGAAAACAAATTTAAAGTCAACTGATCAGTATATGATATTTTTAAAGTTCAAATTCCATCTTAAAAATTTAATTTACAACATATAATACAGTTTTTCTTGTACTCTTCTGTTCTCCTAATTTTAAGGACTGACTTCTACATTCAGTTTTGAAGTGATAAAGTATACAATTCACAAGGAGACCTCACAAGCCTTTGGTTTTTTTGCCACAGATAAAATTTCATTTTTATGAAAAAATGCTGTATAGTTGAGGTGACTTTTGACAAGGTGAATTTCAAAGGTAGAATAAATCCTTAAAAACACTGTATGCAGTTATTTAAAAAAATAACTTCCATAATCCACTGGGAGTGTGATTCAAGGGCACATAATACAGCTATGAAGCTGAAGCTAAGCATTTATAAGTCTGGTCAGTGGTGCATGGATGAGAAACGACTTAGGAATTTTCTGCAAACTGCCTTGAGTTCCATTAAGGAAAAAGGTAAAGGTTTCCCTTGCTCAAAAGTTAGTCGAATCTGACTCTAGGGGGCAGTGCTCATCTCAGTTTCCAAGCCAAAGAGCCACCGCTGTCCGAAGACATCTCCATGGTCATATGGCCAGCATGACTAAACACCAAGTTGCACAGAATGCTGTTACCTTCCCACCGAAGCGGTACCTATTTGTTTACTTGCAATTTCTTGCTTTCGAACTGCTAGGTTGGCAGAAGCTGGGGCAAGAAACGGGAGCTCACTCCGTCACGTGGCACTAGGGTCTCGAACTGCCGAACTTCCAGTCTGCAGCTCAGTCTTAACCTCTGAGCCACCTTCCATTAAGGAAGTAGTATATAAATACAGTACACAAATAAGAAAAATGGGAAGAGCCTATGAATCACAAGATCCGGAAAGTTATTTGAAAATGATTCTATATATTTGCTAGGTTCCAAAACACTGATAAAACATGATTGTCATGCTGTTTTTTTCTTGTTAGGCTACATAATGAGCTCCAACACATTCATTGAAACATGGGGGAAAGAGCTAATCCAGGCACACATAATTTAGACCTTGACTTGACCCAACATCAACAAAGATAATCATTGTGATATATCTTATTTGTCTGTGCATTTTGTACAAACATATTAGGCACAAACCCAGGAGTACATTTAAATGAATACCTTATATACAACCTAGAGTGAAAAGTCTAGATATCAAAATATACAAGCCTTCAGGATGGAGCCAAATAGTTGAGAAGATTTGCTTTATCATAGCTTGTTGATGATCAAAACAATAATTTAG